TCCATACAAAAATATAATTTTTTTGAAATTTTTGTATGAAAAGTATGTCGAAAATGAATTGTATCGCAAAACTAACGTCATATTCGGTTTTCTCGTACCCAAAATCCCCCCAATACACATTTTTGAGTGTTTAAGAATACATTAAATATCACTTTTGGAAGAAAAATTGAATTTTTCCCATGGATGGCCATGGGCATCACACCAGGCATGACACTTTACTCTATCAACCAAAGTCGCTCAAAATCTAATGGTTTCTATTCCTCGGCACCCCCAATCATCCTGTGAAGTCAGATTTTGAATTACTTTTCTTGTTTGAAAGTTATCGTGTTAACAAATTTTTGCGTACAGGGTACAGGGTACGCACATACATTCGGACATCGAAAAAACGCTAGATTCGTGTTCCCTGGCCCCAAAAACACCCAGAAAACACATTTTTGATGGGTGTTAATTTTTCGACCGATTCCAATACTTTACCTTACACACTAGGTGTGTGCGGAAAAGTAAAATTAATTAAAAAGAAATACGAAAGGGTAAAAGTAAGCATATTGATTTATGATCGAAATGGTTTGTGCGTTATCTCTATGAGTTTAGAAGTTAATAAACGTAAAACAACCATAAATTATTGTGAAAATATGTTAAAAGCTGGTGTGATTTGCCCCGAATACTACTACTACTACTAGTATTTGCGGCTGAAGTTCGTTAACCTATCGAAAAAAGTGTTTTTCCTCTTTTCTTTGGCACATTAATTTTATTTTATTTTTTCTTAATAAATATTTGAGTACATTTTAAATCCCGTTGTATATCCGTACCGTTTTTCATGATTCGCCCACAGAATTGCATATAAAATTAATGGAATACAATATTAATTTACCGACAAATTTAAGCCAAACGAAAAAAAACGCACACACAAAAACGAAGAGAATTGAATGTGGATGTGTTACATATACAAACATAAGATGTGCCAAGATAACGAATTCTACGAAATTGAAAATGTACCGCAACAATATGAAGAGAAAAAAACGCTTATTAAATGTTTTGATTTTTTTTGGTTGTTTCCTTTGGCCTGTTGTTTATTACGCTTACACTCATGCTCTGCCAAGACAGATGCCGAGATCAGAATGTATGCAGTGAAAATCTTGAAGCGCGAGTGTCATGGCAAAAGCCATGAACGGGAAAAGATCACCAAGAATTTTGTGTGTGAACGAGCGGTGTCTGTTGAAACAATGAAGACGATGATGACGACGATCGCGGAAAAAGGCCGAAAATTAATTGGCGAGATTTTGTTCATGGCCAATTCGAAATGTAAACGCATATATAATTTTCTGCTGATGTGCGTTTTACTTATCTCGATTCTGGCATCCAGGCAAACGAAATCATCGCATACACATCAATGACTTCGAAGAGAGATACAAAGCGTGGCTTTCAAAGATAGAGAGAAAGAGAAACAAACTCGGCATAGGTTTTCACAATGATTGTAAGAGTTCTCTTTTCAGTAATCATGATCAACGCCGATCTTGTCGTCGTCTACATTTTGGCGAGAATAAATTACATCGTCGACAATGATGATGACGATGATGATGACGACAATGAATACGAGTGTTTTTAAATTTTAGTGGAACTTTTATTAAACGTAAACAACTCTATAAATTTCGGTGGTCGATTACTCTATCTAATGAAGAAAAAAATCTATTTGCTGTGAATTATTCTTGAATTATGTACGTGCATACGAAACAAACAGAAGCGAAAAAGAGCAGAGGCTCAGCATGCTCGATTTGGCAACAGATAGATCAGAGTCAAAGTTCATTATCAAAGGTGCATTTCACAATGAGTCTGGTAAGAAGGTACAACGTTTTATTGGAAATTGATTAAAATGAACAAGTTCAGTTATCCGCAACTTGTGCGCGCACGTTGTTGCTGTAGCAAAATCGCCTTTTTGCTGTATGTTGTGCGTTTTATATTTTATTCAATTTAATCGTGTTTTGTCTGATCTTCGTTCTCCTTTCATGGTTTCCTTTGTTTCCACTGGGATACATGTACACTATAAAATGTGTATATAATAAAATGCAGTATACTGTAAACGAAAAAGAGGTAAGTGTGCTTTTTTTGTTTTCATCATCATTTTTTCTGCCCATCGTGTTTCGAATAAACCTTAAATGCTGCATTCAAAGAAGTATGTTTCGAAACGCAGAGAGACTGTGACCGAGAGAGAGAGAAAAAGACAATCAATGTTCAGAATATGTGAGACGAAGGCGCTGAGAAAGCAAGACAAACGATCCAAAAGAATTCGAATGAAAAGAAAATTAAGGAACGAAGAGAAAAGCAACAAAAATTATAAATGTATATTGTAACTAAAAATTCCGCTTGAGGATAGTACTTGTTCTGCATGCTTAATGCGCGAACTGTGTGATGAAAAAGAAGCACACATGCTCATCGAACACGAGCATCTCTTTGATTGTGTATGCGCATGCTAAAAGAAAAACTGAGCTGGCATAAAGGCTGTGAACGCACATAAAATACCTGTCTCGCATGTACGATCTCGGTACATCATCAGCATCAGTGTGATGGAAGAACGTTTAAAGTGTGTATAATGCCTTGTTGTAACAGCCCGAAATGGTTTTTTAGAATTCTTGTCGTTTGTTCGTGGTATTTTCACTCGTTTGTTATCCAACGAAACAACAAAATCGAACTATGTGACGGTTTTTTTCATACAACACTTGAATCATTGAAAAGTTGAAAAATTCCTTTAATTTCAAAATGAACTCATGATTTCATAAAATGCAGTCCAGAATCTAACACAATTTTGATGCCATTTTATTCGCAATGTAAATTTTAAATCCAAATTTGCATCCACTCAATAATTTTAAACGTAATGAAATCACTTCCATTCGACAAGCATCACACCTCTTCCTTTATATAATTTTGTATAATATGTATAATCGCGTTAACCATTATTGGACTTTCGTGTTAACCATCATTATCATCAAAAGCGCAAAATTAATTCGACTCAGAATATGTTCTGAAGTTGTTTCGCATTTAATAGACGCTTGTGCGCAAATCAAGAGAAAATGAACGAGGGCTCAAGCAACGGTTATTCAAAAGAGAAGTAGAGATGGTAAAGGTATGAAACAGCAAATAAGCGGCAATGAAGACAGTCCGTTTGAAATCTGTTTAATTTTCTCCATTGGGATCCGATTAACTGCATTCGGCCATTTAACGTGTACAGAATATCATGTATGAGTTCAGATTTATATACATTAAGTGTGTAAAGCAAAAACATTTACGACGATATAATATTACGAAATGTAAGATTCTGATGGAATTGCCTTTAAATCTGCAAAAACCATGCAATATTGTTGCCTTCTTGTTCGTCGTTTGAATTGACTTGGATTGAAACAAAGAAAATTAAACATCCACAAATAAATAGCTAATTCATCGTGTCAATTATAAGCTATTTTACATGTCATTAGCAAAATCACAGCACACTGTCTCACTGGATGCACCGAGAAACGTTGAATTTGATACAAACAAAACGGAAAAAAGCAAAGAAATTATACAAGAACGTCCATTGAGACATGAGCATGTCATCTCGAATTATATATACTATATATGAATTCAAGCCCAGAAACCAAAACAAACCGAACACTGCGACTATCAAGTTAATAATATTCCCAGAGAGAATCAACATGCATCGCGTTCATATTTACAAAATCCCATCGGATTGAACAAAAATATGTATTTGTAGTGTTCGTGTGACTCATCTTTTTCTCTCGTGCACAGCTTCGTATTTGCTTGCTGCCTGTCGATTGCGTTGACATACATTAATGTTGCTTCAGTGTACATTTTGCATTATCAAATTAGTAATTATTTCGCCTATGCTGTCTGTAATCGCACGATCACGTTGATATGGAAACAAACAAACAAATTTGCTAAATTAATTCAATCAAAAAGGCGCATTTTTCACAATATCACGGTTTTGTTAGTCAACTTTTTTGTGCTCAATTAATACATTTTAAGTGATAATTAAGACGCATTTACAATTTGTTCATATACACAAAGAATTGTTCGTTTCCTATAAATGGTGTGAAATTAGAAAAACTTATTAATGATGGAAGTGGATGAGATTTTTTTTTGTTTTTATGTTCAATAATCACGTGATCGATAAATAATAACAGAAAGTTTTGAGAAAAAAACCTAAAATCGGCGAGAGAACGATTTCCGTTCAATTGGCTAAAAAGTGCAATCACACAAGATTTATGATTGCTATAAATTATTGTCATTATATGGTATAGTGTGCAGTGAACATGGAACCTGTTACATAACGGCTATATGGTCCAGAAGAACACGCTGCACACACACGAGCACATCATGTATAAAATTACAACCGCAATCTTGTCAGATATTGTTTTTATGGGTATATTCTGTATTGAATACTCGATGTTCTCTTCTTATAGAGTGCTTGGTTAAAGATTTTTTTCCTTCATTTTTGCTTCTTCAACCAATTTTACTGATTTTCTCTCACTCCTTTCAATCGTATGGCATGCATGGTATATCGCTTTTACAAAAAGTACGTTTTTCAAGAATCTTGAGCTGCAAACGAACGAATAACTAATAATAATATGCGACCGATTGAAGCAGCTAATGCGTTATTTTTTCTCTGTTTATTTTAGTTCACTTCTTCGAAGTTAACCGTTTTCGAAATAAATCAATTACTGATAAGTAATAGTTTTTTTTTATTTCAAATGTGAAAACCATCATATCTGTAAATGGATTGACAAAGCTGAAGAGCGCCAACCAGCAACAAGTGTCACGTCGCTATAAATTTTATTATTGTGAAAATATATACTTCATACCGTTACATTCAATTGCATTTCTATTCTATCGCTTATGATCAAAAAAGATATATTTTTGTGTGTATGTTTTTTTTTGAAATCCAAGCCAAATATTTACCAAGCAATACGAACTGTTTTATAAACCAGAAAATTCCATTGAAATTCAATTACCTGTATTAGTTATTATCGAATGGATTCAGTCTTTTCATTGTTTAAGAAATTCATCAATTGTCATAGCCTGCAAGTAGAAAAATAGAGTTTATTTGATTGATTTAAAGAGGAAAAATATCAAAGAGTTTATATATTTTTTTCTGAATTTCTATTTAAGCCGCAAACAATGCGTGGAGCGGGTATATTGTCGTGGTAGACTATTAATTTGTATTGCATTTACGTAACGTTTGTTTATATTGATTTTCAATGGATCACCATCATCGACTGATCCTACACATTTCGATGTCGCCCATTTGAATTAAAACCACACACATCTTATTTTACGACAGTGCAAAAATTGCTCGCGATAAACTTTCATAATAAAAAAAATGCGTCGTCATCAGAATAAAGCCATTTAAAATATAAATTGGCAATTTGCATTTTATTTCAGCTTTAACTGCAAACGTTTTCGTCTATCTTCTTCCATTCTTGTGATGTAGCACACAAATACATACACAATATATTGAGAAATTGGCTAAATAACGCCTGATAAATTCGCGAATTCAACTAAATTTTATGTAATCTATGAGTGCATCTGTGAGAAGACCCCAAAAGAAATCACAATGTTATCAACATCGAAATCAGTTCAATTTCACACCGAATCGAATCGAGCAACGTTGGAAAATGGATAGAACGAGATACAGAAGAAAATCAACTAGAATTTTTATAATTTACTCTTGCATCGAATCACTTCAAAATATAATTGCGAGTGAATATGCGAGTAGAAAATTCATACGTAAGCAATTAAGAAGGCGGAGATGACTTCATTGCATAGTCATAGTGTATGGAATAAATCACAAATGGCTCGAATAAAATTTACCACAATACAGCGTATACAATAAACATGGCTGAATACGAATCTGATGTCAAAAATTGCAACCATAAAATAGATAAAAATGTTTATAATGCCGTTCACACTCGTCTAGCGGTTTCGTACAATGTGAGAAACTAAACTGTTTTTACTTTTTATATTCAAATTCTTGTACATACATAATCTGTTCGAATCTATGTATTTTGACCCATGATGATCATGATGATGATTATGATGATGATCTCTTAAGTCGTTTTCATTTATGTTATGGTGTCGACTTAAAATTGCAACGAATAATTGCACTTTTTACTTTTCCGCACACATAGTGTAAGGTGAAAAGTATTGTAATCGGTCAAAATTTTGAAAACTTTAGAAACATGTTTTCTACCTATTATTGAGGTCAGAGAACACGAATTTGGCGTTTTTAAAGATGGTTTTTGTTAATCTGTACGTCGTACGTCGTACGCAAAATTTGTTAGCAAGATTGCGCTCATCGTAGAAACTTAATTCCCAATCTGACTTTACAGGATGATTGGGGGTCGCGAGGAATAGAAATCATTAGATTTTGAGCGACTTTGGTTGATCGACAAAAATTTCATGCCTGGAGTGATACCTAAGAAAAAGAGTCCAATTTTCGTCCAAAAATCATAGTTAATGTAGACTTAAACACTCAAAAATATGTATTGGGGGGTTTTTGGCACGAGAAAACCGAATCCGACGTTAGTTTTGAGATATAATCAATTTTTGATACAGTTTCCTTGAAAAAATCACAAAAAAAATGCATTTTTGTATGGGAGCCATGCCTGTATGCTACCTTAATGACGTGAAACTTTGCATAGACTATTTTTTACACAAAAAACTAACATTCTGGAAGTTTGAAGAGATTTCAATCAAAGTTAGAGGTATGTACTCCCATACAAAATTTTCAATTTTTGGCTCAAAAGTTTTTTCTGTGAAAAAAATAACCTGTGCAAAGTTTTACACCATTAAGGTAGCATACAGACATGGCTCCCATACAAAGATCCAAATTTTTTGTGACTTTAGTTATGAAAAGTGTTTCAAAAATAATTTCTATGGCAAAATCAATGTCAAACATATTTTTTTATAGTGTTTTGTTAGAAAGTAGAATACCTTCAAATATCGTTCATCATGAAAGTGTGAAAAATCTTTTCTCGAGTACTTCTGCTATTAAATTAAAGAATATTTCGATGCCAAGGTTTGAACATATTTTTTGGTCTCAAGCTTTACGCCGCTTGAAAGGCTTGAAAAATCGAACAAATATTATTTTGAACCAGCTTAATAAAATACGAAACTACCACCGTGCGGAAAAGATCGTCTTACTCCCGTAAGACTCTTTATTTCCTTAAAACTCTACCATTCCAATGGCCACTATACAATACACAAGCACAGGAAGTCACACTGCGTACACATTATCATTATTAAATTTCTTCTTTTTTTACTCTTGTTGTGTTTCTCAAGAAATGAAAATATTTTCATTATCATTTCCGTACAAAAAGCATCGGCAAAGAATTGCTAGTGAGAAGCAATTTTTGAATTCTTGCTCCTGTATTGTATGCAAAGACAAAAGAATTCTCTTTTTTTTTAAATATATATATTTTTGCGTAATTGCTTTTGTGTATACGTCTTTAGAATCGATGATTGTGATAATGGCGAATGTAATGTTTAGAATTCTACCATTGAAACAATAATTTTTTTTCTAATATTAGCGCTCACATGCTATTCCGAATTTACGTATTGTAAAGTTGAACTAAACATACTCTGGAAAAGTGTGCACCAAATGGCTTTACAAAGAATTGAGATAAATAACAAAGGACTAAAAATGAGGTATGAGCCATCCTCCGTTAGAGCGGTTCGAAATTAAAACTTCACGCATACACTGAAAAGCACTTTGGAATATAATTCTTTTTTATAGACTTGGTGTTCATATAAATGTGTCTTTTCGATCGGCACTAATTTCAATGCCGCATATATTCCGATGCTCTTCTCTTCATAAAAAAATGTGCTTAGCAACGAGTGCACACTGCACACTTTTGTTTCCAGAAAATAAGGCAGACGAAATTGTGAATGTTCGTATAGGCATAAGGACAGAGACCCGAGCGCGGTATCTGTATAATACAAATAATAAAACTAATAAGAAAACTGTTGTTGCACGTAAAGGCGAAGAATATATGAACGCTCTAGAATAAAAAAAACGTACAGAATGGTTGTTATATCAAAGCGGAACACAGCGTTTTTTTTATATAGAATTGTTGCTGTATTACAACAACAAATCTATGTTTAAAATCTATGTTTAAAAAAACGCTGTGTTCCGCTTTGATATAACAACCATTCTGTACGTTGTTTTTATTCTAGAGCGTTCATATCTTTCTCTCTGTCTATCCCCTCTATCGAGGAAGCAAGAGATGCAACTCAAAAACCACATATCTACTACTTGCGATTTATTTCTAAGCGTACGCTTCAACCAAACGTGCAAAAAAGTGGCTGGGAAAATAATCAGACTTAACTTTTATAACATCCAAGAAAATGAGATTTTTTTTCGTTTACTTGCTTGTTGTTGTGCTTTTTTCTCTACTCTTCAACATTGAATGAAGAAAGGAAAAAGGAAAAGAAATTGGAAAAGATCGGAGCTCAATCGCATTCGTAGATGCTTAGGCTTACTTGCTTCGAATGCTCAATATGAACAAAAAATGCTTGAAAAAAGAAGCACAATGCATATACTCACACTCACACACACAACGAGAACAAAACATACGCCGAAACAAAACGATGAAATGAAGAATTTGCTTAAAAGTAGATTGAAAAAAAGTATTCAATTCTATATAAAATGCGAGAAAAAAATGCCGGGCGATCTATGAAACAAAACAGTTCGTTCTTTCGTTTTTTTCTGTGCTGTGCTAAAGCATTTCTGCATTCAACAATTGGCACCAGAATATTCATATATTTATGGGTAATGAATGCTAAATGTATTAACCAAGAAGAAAAACAACGACAACAACGATAATAATAGTTATGGGATATGACGATAATAACAAAGTAAAGTAGAGACGAAGTGTATGAATAAGTGCACATTCTAGCCATCGAGAGTGAGAGATGTAAAAAAATTGTACGAACGAATAAAAGGCGTGCATAGACACAACGAAAACAACGACCACGAAACAAAAAAAAAACAACAACTCTATAATCCTTCACATGAAAATCAAGCCTACGATCAAAATGGCTATCGAACATGCAACGAAGGAAAGCAAATAAAAAAAGCCAATAATCTCATAATAATATTTTAAAGCCGTTGGTTCACGATGGTTTGTGCATCTATTGGCCTTTTTATGCATCTCATCATCCTTTTAGCACACTCATTAATGAGTCACACCAGATCACCTCTTAGTGATTTTCATCGAATTGTGTATTTGATTCTTTTTCTCGGTCGTCCTTTTCCTCTTGTATTTGCTTGTTTGTGCTGATGTAAATAAACATTCGAGAATCAAAGAATTGGCCTAAGGGATGTTTGTCTACGAAGAGTATTTAAGTCGATTTAGTCATCTATTTTGCATTGACCGGTTGATGAATTAAAGACATAGTGGAACCACATTCTCTTCACTTAAATTAATTATCATCATGTGGAAGTTATATCAAACAAGTAGCTGCATATGTTCGATGCAGTATGATTAAAAAAATACCAATGGTCTCAGACCATAAATGTCATATGAGTGGTTGTGACAATTTAGATAGTCATTTTTACCACTAATGGTACGATTCTGTCGCCTACTTTCCCGCAACAGTATGTAATTGAGAATAATGCATTGAACAACTTGACTAACTGAACAGCCTTATTTTCTAACATAAATTAAAGTAAATGTACAACTCGATTTGTTTGTTTTGGCATAGCCCATATAAAAAATTGGTTTGATTTTCTAAATATACCACCAAATTGGGAAAATCATTAATGGTGGAGATTGTCGAATTTCGAGACAGTTGAAGATATTTTTTCTTCAAATTCCACATTAATTTTAATTCCATTCTTCGAGTCAGCTGGAAATGGTCAAAATTGTTTATTTAAACCCTCTTTTACGTTGTCATTTGTCATTAAATTAGTTGGCTCCCATAAAAAATGACGAAATTATCCTATTTTTCTCGTTCCAAAATCGGCCCGCATTTTTCACATTTTCTCAACATTTCTACATACATACCTATAATTTCAA